CACCAATTTTGTTGGTCTTTGTTTCGAGTGATTTCCTCTTCCACAAGGTCAACACCAGCTTCACTGTAATACCAAATACCCTCACTTGAAACGCTTGAGTCCTTTTCGAATACAAATTTTGACGGGTGGTGTACTTCTACTGTTGTACAGCCTTCTCCAACAAGAAATTGGAAAATCGATTTATATAATTTTTAGATATCCTAGAAGCTTGTTTCAATCAAACTAAAATCCCCGAAGATTAAAATTGATTAGGATCCATTTGATTGCAAATATGAAAAATAAGTTGAAAGAAAATAAATTCTAGGGAATTGAATTGCCTAGAATTGTTTTAATAGAAACGGTAATTAATTATGTTTGATTGATATAATTTTTCAGGTGTAAAATGTTGAAAGTTTGGTACCCGTTTGGCTTCGTTTTTCATGAAAATTGTCTATTACAGTAATAATTTTGTTACCAATTGGTCTAGAATTTGTTCTAATTGCCAAAAAAAAAATAAAAAATTACCATACTGAATATCATTCATTTGGCTTTGTTTCAAATGAAAATTGTCAATAAAAGTGATAAATTTTTTTACCATTGTGTCTAGAATTTTTTCCAATTGCAAAAGAAAAAAAAAAGAAACTGTAAAATCAATTCCCACAAAAAACAAAAGAAAAGAAATTCCTCCGAATCCAGGGAAGCAGGCGCGTGAGGGGCAGAGGAGGAAAACATTTTCTAGGCAAAATTTGTCCTATCAAACAGTACAAAACTTTCATAAAAAATATTACCAATCAAACATACCTTAGTTTGTAATCACATAAAGGAAAAAAAATATAAATGGATTTTGAATTGAGAAGAGCCAGAGAGAAGCTGGAGAGAGAGTAGAGAGAGAGGGGAATGAGAGGGCCAAAAAGAAATTGGTGAGGAAAAGAGACCCAAACAAGAAGCTCTTCGTGTCCTCATCGCATTGAAGCCGCTGAAGCCCAAGCCATGGTCCTTTTTCGATGGGGTACTTACAAAAATACCCTTAAAATTAGGGGTGTTTTGAAAAATCATGTGAAAGATTTTTAGGAAGTAAAAAATACTGTGTAAAATGAAAAAGTGACACAATGTCACTTTTTTTTAAAAAAAATGTCACTTTTTTACTTTTTTACTAGTAAAAAAGTGACAAAATAAAAAAAG